TACACATGCGCCCGGCGTGAGTTTTAAGCCACCAGGTCTGGGTTGTGAACCGCGGTCAACTATGTGAGAGTCCAGCGACATAGCCATTACGCTAACTGCTGGTTCCCCTGAAATTGTCTGTCATATGTCCATTGCAAAATTATACTTTGGCTATGCAGCCACCACAGTATCCTGATCTGGCCTTCAAAGAATTTTTTCCTTCATCACCTCAAGCAATTTTTTCTTCTCTATTCAGTTTAAACTAGTTGCTTGTATTCTTCTTATTTTTAAAATAGCTTTATTTTTAAATTTATTTTATTTTATTTTTGAGAGATTTTTGCTACAGGGTACATGCACTCACCAGAGAAATGGAGAGAGACACAGAGACAGAAAGAGAGAAAACATCCCTCAGGAGTGAAGGCCAAATAGCTTCTCCTCTATTCTCCTCTTAGTTTTTGGGCATGAACACACACATGTGCCCGGAGTGAATTTCAAGCTGCTGGGTCCAGGACTCGAATCATGATCAGTCACATGGGAGTCCAGTGACTTAACCACTGCCACTAGTGGCCCAAATAATAACGTTATTAATATCTAATTTCACTGAGGCTAGCAGGCGACATGGTGGTTCAGGCGTTAGACTCCCACATGACCAACAGTGGTTTGAATTCTGGACATGATGGCTTGCTTTCTCACTTTCTAACTCTCTCTCTCTCTCTCTCCCTCTCTTGTGAGCACACATGCCCTATAGCAAATAAAAATAATAATAATAACAATAATAGTAGTAATAATAAATATTTAAAATATGTAATTCATATACTATAAAATTTGCCCTTTTAAAGTAAACAATTCAGTGGTTTTTAGTATATTCATAGGGCTGTGCAACCATCACCATTAACTCCAGAACATTCTCATCACGCACCCCCAAAATCAAACATCCAGTAGCAAACGCTCTCTATACCTTCCTTCCTCCTTCCTTCCTCCCTTTCTTTTCCTTTTTAAATTTTAGTTTACTTTAGAGAAAGTATGCTTGCCAGGGCAGGAGAGAGAGAGAGAGAGAGAGAGGGCCAGTAGATGGCATAATGTTTATGTCGTTGGACTCCCACATAGTCAACTGCAATTTGAGTCCCAGACCCGGTGGCTTAAAATTTACACCGGGTGCATGAGCATGTGTGCCCAAACTACCAAAAGAAGAACGGAGAAAAGATTGTGCCATGTCCATCCTCCCTGGGGGCTGATTTCTGATCTTCTTTCTCTCTGTCTCTCTCTCTCTGTGTCTCTCTAACAAGTCCACATACCCTATAGCAAAAATCTGTGTGTGTGTGTGTGTGTGTGTGTGTGTGAGAGAGAGAGAGATCACCCTCCAGGGGCCAGCTCATGGCTTGGTGATCAGGGTGCTAGACTCTCACATGGTAGACCACAATTTGAGTCCCAGACCTGGGACTTTCCCTCTCTCTCTGTCTCTCTCTGATGATTAAGGCAAGTTCAATAATAATAAGAAGAAGAAATAAATAAGAAATCACCCTTTAGGGGTGAGGAGATGGCCACGCCTCAATCCCTTCTCCCTCATTCTCCTCTCAGGACCTTGGACATACATGGAAGCATGCCATGCATGATTTTTCAAGACACAGGGTCTGGGACTCAGTAGTGTAGCCAGCCATGTGGATCCAGTGCCTTAACCTCTACTCCACCAGCTAGCTCCCCATGCCTTTCCCACAAGCTTTGGTAACCATTTATCTAGATTCTTTTTTTCTCTTCAAATATTTATTGTAACTTGTGATTTACATATAATCATTAAACATCTTGGTAGGGTACAGAATGGTCTTTAAAAGTATGTATACAATGTGGATGGCATAATGGTTACATTGCTGGACTCCCATGTAGTCAACCATACCATGGTTCGAGTACTGGACCTAGAGGCTTAAAACTCACGCCAGGGGCGTGTGCATGTGTGCCCAAAATCCTAAGAGGAGAATGGAGGAGAAGGGATTGGCAGCATAGTCATCCTCCCTGGGGGACGATTTCTTGCTTTCTGTCTCTCTATCTCTCTAGTGAATGCACACAACCTATAGCAAAATCCTCTCTCTCACTCTAGAAAAAAGCATGTATATAATGTATAATAAACCAATCCAGGATATAAACATATTCACCACCTTCAATATTTAACATTATGTTATGTCATGAACATTCAAAACCCAATCCAGGGGACTGGTGGGTGGTATGGTGTTTAAGGCGCTGGACACTCCTACATGGACCACCATGGTTCCAGTTCTGGATCTGGTGGCTTGCATTCTCACTTTCTCTCTCTCTCTCTCTGTCTCTCTCTTGTTAAATTTAAAAATAAATGAATTAATAAATAAAGGTAAAATATATAATTTTTTAAATTCCAAGTTATTCTGCAAGTACATGCTGAATTGTCTACGATGTTCTTTATTGTGAGATACAGTTCTAAAGAAAAAACATATTGATTAAAAATCAGGCAACAATGGGGCTGTCAGGTGGCATGGTGGCTAAGGGCACTGGACTCCCACATGGATTACCATGGTTCGAGTCCTGGAACTGGCAGCTTGCTTTCTCACTTTTCATCTCTCTTTCTGTCTCTCTCTGGTCAAATCAAATAAGTAAAGAAATAAGTAAATATTTAGATAAACAAAAATCAGGCAACAGGGGCCAGCAAGTGGCGAGGTGGTTAAGGGTGCTGGACTCCCACATGGTCGACCGTGATTTGAGTCCTGGACCTGGTGGCTTGCTTTCCTGCTTTCCCTCTCCCTCTCTCTGTACCTGTCTGGTCAAATAAAAAAATAATAATAATAACAAGTGGAGTTAAATAAATAAATAAATAAATATGTTTTTAAAAATTAGGAAACAATCTCATAAACTTTTTGATTTTTTTTTTTGGAGAGGTTTTTGCTATAGGGCACGTGCACTCACCAGACAGACAGAGAGAGACAGAAAGCGAGAAATCACCCCCCAGGGGGGATGGCCACGCTGCAATCCCTTCTCCTCCATTCTCCTCTCGGGATCTTGGGCACGCACGCACATGTGCCCGGCATGAGTTTTAAGCCACCGGGTCCGGGATGCGAACCACGGTCAACTACATGGGAGTCCAATAACATAGCCATTACACTAACTGCTGGTCCCACAATCTCATAAATTAACAAAGATAATTTTAACAAAGCCAGTGAAAGCAGAATTTGTAATTTTCATGTAGAGGACTGTGAGAGATAAAAGCTTACAGTCCAAAAAAAAAAATCTGTGGGTATCAATTATCTGTCCAGTTAGAAATAAGGAAAAGAGAGAAAAAGAACATTTTTACTCCCACATTGTGAGTTCTTGTAAAACCATCGTACTATGCTGTGCAAAAACAAAGTCCTCAAAAAGCAAAAATTAAAAAAAAATTGGGAACCAGCAGTTAGCGTAATGGCTATGTCGCTGGACTCCGACGTAGTCGACCGCGGTTCGTGTCCCGGACCCAGTGGCTTAAAACTCACGCCGGGCGCATGTGCGTGCGTGCCCAAGATCCCGAGAGGAGAATGGAGGAGAAGGGATTGCGGCGTGACCATCCCCCCTGGGGGGTGATTTCTCGCTTTCTGTCTCTATGTCTCTGTCTGTCTGGCGAGCGCACGCGCCCTACAGTGAAAATCTCTCCAAAAAAAAAAAAAAAAACAGAAATTGGAAAGAGATGTTTAAAAGTGAAAACATGGTAGAGCCAGTGATTTGGTGATGGATAGGCTTTCCAAAGTTCTTAATTTAGCCTTTTAAAAAAATTAATTCCAAAGAAAGACTCAATGAGTAATGGTTATGACAAATATATAAACTAAACCTGTGGAGACAACTGTCTATCAATTAACTGGTGAGTTTTCACACTGCTTGAGTGTAAAATATTTGAATCTGCATTTAGTTCCAGCATTCAGTGTTATGAACAATATGTGTGGACTTCGCATATTTCCAGTTTTAGTATATGTGGTGCCGAAGCGAGCACGAACGTCATGTTTTTCTCTAGTTTGCTTGTGTTCTCTTACTTCTGTCTCTTTTTGCTTTCCTGAGCGGTAGTCCCTTACGTATTCCTTTCTTTCTTTCTTTCTTTTTTTTTTTTTTCAGAGATTTTTGCTATAGGGCACATGTGCTCACTGAAGAGACAGAGAGACAGAAACCAAGAAATCACCCACCGGGAGGATGGCCATACCACAATATCTTCTCTTCCATTCTCCTCTCAGGATTTTGGACATACACATACATGCACTGGTGTGAGTTTCAAGCCACAGGTCCGGGACTCGAACCACTGACGGCTACGTGGGAGTCCTGTAATGTAACCATTATGCCATCTACTGGTTCCCCTTAATTATCTCTTGAAGAGCCAGTTTTGTTTCGGTGAATTCTTTCACCATTTGTTTTATCTGGGATACATTCTCTCTCTTTTTCTTTTTCTTTTCACTTTTTAAATTAAGGTTTTGCCGTAGGGCACATGCGCTCACTAGAGATACAGGAGTGAGACAGTGAGAGGGAAAGTGAGAACTCACGTCCCAGGGCGCATAGCCATGTTGTAATCCCTTTTCCTCCCAGGATCCTGGGCACACAGACCCACACACTAGGCGTGATTTTCACGGTACCAGGTCCAGACAGTTGGCCATGTGGCGTAACCTTAAGCCGTCTGCGGGCCTAACCAAGTGTACACCCTTTTTTTTTTTTTTTTTTTTTTTTTTTGCCTTAGGGGCATGGACTGGCTGGAGGGAAAGGGGAAGAGACAGTAAGAGGGAAAGTGAGAAATCACCCCTAGTGGGGATAGTCACTCTGCAATCCGTCTCCTCCATTCTCCTTTTGGGATCTTGAGTATGTACGCACAGGCACTTAGCGTGATTTTCAAACAACGGGATCCGGGACTTGAACCGTAATCCTCAATTCGCATTGTGGGAGTTTAGTGACGTAATCTCTCTCTTTACGTGAACACTCAATCCCTGCGCCCACTGCCACCCTGTAGCCAGAGTCGCCATCTTGCTTCCTGGCAGGACCGGTTTGTGGGTTAAGAACCCTGGGAGCTCCCGCCCGTACTTAAGATGGCGGCTCTGGGTGGGCGCGGCTAGTCACTGGGAGAATACAAACAGGTTGCAGCACCATGGCGGCCGGGGAGAAGCGGATTTGGGAGGACGACGACGAGGAGGAAGAGGAGGTAATAAGCGGACGCCGAAAGTCTGCACTGCGGTCGCGGTGATGCCTGGGCTGGTGGTGTGGGGTAAGGGAGCGGGAAGCGGAGGGCAGGAGGGAAGCCTCCCGCGTTTCGCCAGCTTCTTGCCCCCGGGTGCGGGGACCGGGGGCTACGGGACTCTGCCCTTTCGCCACACCGTGTTTAGAACCCGGAGGTTCCGCGGCGTTACCTAGGCTCATGTTGTTGGCTTCCTGTGGTTGGAAGCAGGGCCGGTTTGAACACGGCATCGTCGCGCTGGGCTTGGGGGGCTTCGATGTTAGCTGCCTCCTCCTGCTCACTCGCATGCTACGACGTTAACCGCTCTGCTCTTTCTTCCACCAGGAGCAGTTGGTTCTGGTCGAGTTTTCAGGAATTATTGATTCAGACTTTCTCTCAAAATGTGAAAATAAATGCAAGATTTTGGTGAGTCTTCTAGAATTAGGGGGTTTTTATAGATTTTCTTAAATTTGAAACACGCATGAATGGTGAAATACTTATCCGCAAAGATTGCTTTATTTATTCTACCTTACAAAGCAATGAGCTCAGGACCGTCCTAGAAGTACAGGGGGCCTTTGGGAGCACATAGTGTTGGCAGACTGGACTCCCCCAGGAACCCGACGCAGGTCCCGCCTATTGCTACACAACAAAACAGGAGCAAAATTGTTGATTAGAGAGGAAAGGAAAATTTAATATAGTGTGGCCACACCTGAAGTACACATAAGACCAACTTACATGAGCTTGTTATGGGGGCGTGTTATGGGGCTAACAGATAGCTAGAGAAAAGAATAAATCTGGTTAATTTTTAGCTGGGGCACAAATGAGTAGTCTTTGAGATGAGTTTCAGCCTTGAACTAAGAGGTGCAGTCAAACTATTCATCTTCAAGATAGGCGGTTCAGGGGCCAACAGGTAGCATAATGGTTAAGATGCTGGACTTCATGTGGTCCACCGGGAAGCCCTGGACCTGGTGGCCTAACGGTAAAGCTGGACATATGTACCTGCATGTTCAAAAATCCCAAGATGAGAACATAGGAGCAGGGACTGTGGCATGGCCAAACCATCCCCCACCACCACCACCCCTTGGGGATGATTTTTCACTTTCTCTCTCTGGCAAGGGCACACACTCTATAGCAAAAATCTCTATTAAAAAAGAAAAAAATAATCAAGAGTTTCAGCTGTGATGGGACAGAACGGTCCTCATTGTTTTAGCTCCAGGTTAGCTGTCTGTTTCTTGAAATTTCTGTAAGAAACCTCAAAAAAAGAGTATCGGTCTGAGAGAAACAGGTTTTGATTTCAACAGCATGGAGTCAGTTTGGCTAAGCAGGCCCTGGTTACAGAACACACCTTATTCTGCTTGAGCATCTCGATGTGTGGCTGGAGAGAAAACTAAAGAATTGGAGGAGGAGTACCAGCAGGTGGTGTGGTGGTTAAGGTACTGGACACTCCCACATGGCTGACCATGGTTTGAGTCCTGGACCTGGTGACTTGCTTTCTCATTTTCTCTCTCTCTCTGATCAAATTTAAAAAATAAATAAGTGAACAAATAGAATTGATAGAATAACTCTTTAGAAAAAAGAATTGGAGGAGGTAACAATTCAGTTTTAGAAAGTGAAGAGGGAAGAAAAAACATAAAATGGAGAAAGACAGTCACGCAAATTAAACTGGAAGGGAGGAAAGATACCTACTATGAAAAGACTTTCTGAAGCCCTCCCACTCTGTTGTAGACTTGAGCTCTGGAAGAGTAAGTTTCCATCTGTTCTTTCACCTTAAAATCTTTGAGCTACTGTTAATAGGACCTCCCTCTGTTATTACCTTAAGCACGAAGAAGATGTAGGTTGAAATAGACCTTGCTGTTGGATTGTGAACTAAGTCTTCAAGCTGTAGCTGCTAAGATCAGAGCAGTTTGTAGCTTATCTTGTACTTGCCAGGACAAGATGCTCTAGAGGCTCCCCAGTTTTGGAAATCCGTTTCCTTGGTAGCGAGACTACACGTGGAAGGCTTTTTCTAATGTGACTGTTTATGATCTTTTGTTCTGTTGTAGGGAATTGACACCGAGAGGCCAATTCTGCAAGTGGATAACTATGTTTTTGCTGGAGAATATGAAGGTAGGAGAATGTCGGATAGATGAAACTCCTTTTTAAAATAAAATTTTCAGGGGAGGTGGCTTTTTAATAATCTGCCTTTACATTTTTTTGCAGATACTCTTGGGACTTGTGTTATATTTGAAGAAAACGTTGAACATGGTAAGTAATAGTATGCTAGACCAACTCCTTTGATCACAAACTGCAGTTGCCCCTTGAACCTGAGGGGTTAGGTACACTGACCTCCCACTGCATCGCTCTGTACAGTCTAAAGTTTGAGTATAACTTTTTTTTTTTTTTTGGAGAGGTTTTTGCTATAGGGCTCACTCACCGGAAAGACAGAGAGAGAGAGACAGAGAAATAGAAAGTGAGAAGTCACCCCTCAGGGGAATGGCCACACCGCAATCCCTTCTCCTCCATTCTCCTCTTGGGATCTTGGGCATGCACTCACACGTGATTGGTGTGAGTTTAAGCCACTGGGTCCGGGACTCGAACGTGGTCAACTACGTGGGAGTCCAGCAACATAGCCATTACGCTAACTGCTGGTCCCACTTTTTTTTTTGTTTTTAATGCCAGAGGGCCAATGTATGTGTATGAGGGAAAAAGAACAAGGGGAAAAAAGAGGATGCCCTCAGCGACAGGGTCCCGTTATACCACAGTTGTTTTTTCTTCGATTCCCCATCCAGTCAAGATCTTACCCAGTATGTCTTTCAAGCCAGTGAGGTAGAGACTCGATCTCTAGTGAGCCATGTTGTCTCTGGCTTCCTCTACACAGCACTTATCTGCTGTATTAGGAGGGTGGCCCCAAATATAAGTTGACTCCCCAAAACTTACCTATTAACAGTCTGTTAGTCACTAGAAGCCTTATGCATAGCATGAAGTTAGTTATGTATTTTGTGTGTTTTATGTGTTATATAATGTGTTCTCATAATAAAGGAAGCCAGAGGAAAAAATGTTACTAAGAAGATCATAAGAAAGAAAATATTATATTGTACCATATTTTCCAATATATTTATTGAAAAACTGCATGTAAGTGGATTTATGCAATTCAAACCGCTGTTGTTCAAAGGTCAGTTGTTTTCATAATTTGTTATGTCTTCACTCCAGTCTCTGGCCTCACGTGGTAAGTCTGGTTTTGGTCTTTTATTTTCAGTGGTAGAATTATATTTCAATTATAGAATCCTGTAGAACCAAATCCTAACTCCAGTTTCCTACTTCATGACTGGAGTCTGTCAAGCCTATGGCTTTACTCTCATTCAGAGCTTTTGTGCTTCTGTTCCCTTAAGACGTTTGTTGTTTTTGAATCTAGTCATACTTTGAAATTTATTTTTGGTTTTGGCTTTTGTTTTTGCTATAGGGAGTTTGTGCTTACCAGAGAGAGACAGAGAGGCAAAGTGAGATGGCCACACTGCAGTCCCTTGTCCTCTGTTTTCTTTTTGGGATTTCTGACTTGTCCTGTGTCACACCACTGACTCCAGGATTCTAACTGTGGTCAGCCACGTAGAAATCCAGTACCTTAATCTCCATGCCACCTGTTGGCTCACATATGTCTTTTTTGAATAATTATTTTATTTAGCTTTGTTTATTTATTTTAATTTGACTAGACAGAGGCAGAGAGTGAGAGAGAGAGAAAGTGAGAAAGCAAGCCACCAGATTCAGGACTTGAGCCCTGGTCGGCCATGTGGGAGTGTCCAGCGCCCCAACCACCACGCCACCTGTTGGTCCCCTTACTGTGCTGTCTTGACAGGAAATTCTTTAGTCTAAGTCCCTAAATTGAAATTAATTAATTATTTATTTATTTACTTTTTTTTTGAGAGGTTTTTGCTATAGGGCACGTGCGCTCGCCAGAAAGACAGACAGAAAGCAAGAAATCACCCCCTGGGGGGATGGCCACGCCGCATCCCTTCTTCTCCATTCTCTTCTCGGGATCTTGGGCACGCACGCACATGTGCCTGGTGTGAGTTTAAGCCACTGGGTCCAGGACTCGAACAGTGGTCAATACACGAGAGTCCAGCGACATAGCCATTACACTAACTGCTGGTCCCAGAAATGTTGTTTTTTTTTTTTTAATAATTATTTTTTAGTTAACTTTATTTTATTTATTTATTTATTTTAATTGACCAGAGAAGGGCAGGGAGAGAGGGAAAGTGAGAAAGCAAGCTGCCAGGTCCAGGACTCAAACCGTGGTTGGCCACATGGGAGTCCAATGCCCTTAACCACCATGCCACCTGCCAGCCCCCCAAAATGGAAATTATTAAGGCTAAACATTATTTTGTTTGATGGCATAAAGCAATGTGATAATTGAGTTCACTTTCTGTTCTAGTGGATGCAGAAGGCAATAATAAAACAGTGTTAAAATATAAATGCCATACAATGAAGAAGCTCAGCATGACAAGAACTCTTCTTTCAGAAAAGAAGGAAGGAGAAGAAAACATAGGTTAGTTCCTTTCATTCTCTGAAGATGGGTGTTTCAGTATTGGCTTTGATGTGACACATCGAATAGGTATGGAGAAAATTATAGGGAAGTAATTTCCTTTAAGGCATGAGATTTCACAGAATGATTTGAGAGTTGAACTCTGGGAAAAAAAGGCATGGAATAGTAATTGAAGTTAATTACTTTAAGTGATTAAAAAATAAAATTGTGGAACTAGCACTGGCAAGATGGTGAAGGGACTGGACTCGCAAATGAGTAACTGTGGTTCAAGTCCCAGATATAGTGGCTTGCTTTGTCACTCTGTCGCTCTCTCTTGCACACACGCCCTATAGCAAGCTTAAAATAATGATAATAAATAAAATAATCATTAAAAAAATAAACTTTAAATAAATTTGCCGAAGTATATGTGCACTTACCAGAGAAAGAGAAGGGGAGAGTATGCGAGCAAGCGTGAAGGAGAGGGGAAAAGACTCCCTGTGGAGCAGGGTTCTGCTAAAATCCCTTTCCTCCATCTTTCCGTGCTTTCTGGATTTTGGGCATGTATACATGTGCTAGTGTGTTTTTCAAGCTGCTAGGTTCAGGATTCAAACCACAGAACTGGCCATATGACATTCAGTGCCCTTACCCACTGGAGCTGGTCCATGATTTTTTTTTTTTTTGAGTTCTTTCTTTCTCCATAAGCAGAAGAGAAAGAGAAGCAGGCACTTTTCAACAGTTTGCGCACACTGCAATTCACCCCTAGCTTTACTCAGTACCAGATCATGGGCACACATGTACCTAGTGTGTTCTGGAGGGTCTCCAGTCATGAACCTAGAACCTTCCCATGTGGGTCAGCCCTGTATAGTGTTAGGTTACTGCTGTACCACTGTCCAGCCATTTATAGTGGCTCGTTTTAAAAATAATTGTATTTATGTTTTTATTTATCTTTATTGTTTTTAAAGAATTATTTATTATTATAATTTATGTTCACTAGAGAGAGAAAGTGAGAAAGTAAGCTGCCAGGTCTGGGACTCTAACCCTGGTCAGCTATATGGGAGTCCTGCATTCCAAGGTCTCAGTGGAAGGTAGAAATTACATGATTATTGGTAATTTTTTTTTTTTTTTTCTTAAGAGAGATTTTTGCTATAGGACGCATGTGCTTGCTGGAGAGACAGAGTGTGAGAAATCACCTTCTTGGGAGGATGACCATGCTGCGATCCCTTCTCCATTCTCCTCTTGGGAATTTTTGGGGGCATGCATGCATGTACCTGGTATGAATTTTAAACCACTGGGTCCGGGACTTGTGGTCGACTATGTGGGAGTCCAGAGACATAAACATGCTATCTGCTGGTCCCTATTTATTGGTAATAGTAGACATGATGTTTGTGGTTTATATTGTAGTTTTACTCGGACATGTATTCATAGCATGAAAATTTATATTAAGGAAAAATATTCAAAGTCTTTTTTTCGTGTTTCTTTCTTGGTTTGTCACCCAAATTAGGTGGAGTGGAATGGTTGCAAATCAAGGATAACGATTTCTCCTACAGACCCAACATGATGTGTAGCTTTCTACATGAAAATGAAGATGAAGCTGCAGCTTCATCCTCTAATAAACCTTCGGAGTTGGAAGAACAAGAGATTCAGACGAAAGACGGTTCAGACTTGAGCTATGAACAGGAAAAACCTTCACATTTACAAAGAGAGGGTTCTGGTGCTATTGTCCATATTCCTTCTGCTGAGACAGAAGATTCTGTTTTTATGGAAACTCAAACTGCTGGTTTGGATATCACTCCTAGTTGAATGTTTCTTTAAACAATAAACTTGTTACAGTTTTTATATAAAATAATCAGCTATGTAGCTTTCGGTTTACTGTTGTGTTTTTTGTTAGCTATATACATATTTGTAATTACAGCACAATATAATATGCCAGAATCATTCAGGACAAGCCATGAATTGAATTTTTTTTTTTTTTTTTGCTATAGGGTGAGTGCATTCACCATGGACACAGTAAGAGGGAAAGTGAGATATCACCCACCAAAGGGAATAGCCATGCCACAGTTCTTTCTCCTGCACTCTCCTCCTGGGATTTTTGGGCATGCACACCTGGCATGAGCTTTAAGCTTTTGGGATTGGGACTCGAACTGCATTCGGCCACGTGTGTGTCTAATACCTTAACCACCACATTACTTGCTGGCCCCATAAATTGAATTTTTTATTTATTTAATTTTATTTTTTTATTTTTATTTTTTTTTCTTTTTGCCTTAGGGCACATGTGGTCACCTGAGTGAGAGAGAGAGGGAACATGAGAAATCACCCCCCTCCAGGGGAATTGGCCATGCAATAGTCCCTCTCCTCCATTTTCCCAGGATCTTGGGCACATGCATGGTCCCAGTGTGATTCAAGTCACCAGGTCCAGGACTTGAACCATGGTTGGTCATGTAGGAGTCCAGCGATGTAACCGCCATGGCATCTGCTGCCTCTGGATTAAATTTTTAAAGGCATGGTTTCAGGTGTGGTTAAGGCAGCTGGATTTCATATAGCCAAGTACACAGTTCAAGTCCCAGACCCTGCAGCTTGAAAAAATACACTGGATGTGGGGACTAGCAAATGGTGTAACATCATCGTTAGACTTCCATGTAGTGGACCATGGTTCAAGTCTTGGACCTGGTGATTTAACTCATGCCGGGCGCATGTGCATGCATGCCAAAGATCCTGAAAGGAGAATGGAGGAGAAGGGATTGCGGCATGTCCATCCCCCCTGGGGGAAATGATTTTTCCATGTCAAGCACACTCTATAGCAAAAATCTTTTTTTTTTTTAAGTTTAAACCATGCTAGTATTTTCTTTCTGTTTTAAAGTTACTTTATTCTTTTTTTAATAAAAAAAATTGCATTTACTTAGAAGCTTTCAGAATGTCAACAAAACAGCTGCCAACTTTTTTTTTTTGCAATTACAGTGTGGTTTTCAGTTAACAGAATAACAATTATTTTGTATAAGCTGCATCAGAGACAACTGAAGATGAAATCTTTTAAGAGGCCACCTTTTTTTTTTTCTTTTTTCTTTTTTTGGAGAGGTTTTTGCTATAGGGCGTGTGTGCTCGCCAGAAAGAGCAAGACAGAAAGCAAGAAATCACCCCCCCCCCCCCCCCGGTGGGAATGGCCACGCTGCAATCCCTTCTCCTCCATTCTCCTCTCAGGATCTGGGGTACGCATGCACATGTGCCCGGTGTGAGTTTAAGCTACTGGGTCCAGGACTCAAACTGTGGTCGACTACATGGGAGTACAGCGACATAGCCATTAAAGCTAACTTCTGGTCCCAAGAGGCCATCTTGGAGTTGGCAGGTGGAGTGGTTGTTAAGGTGCTGGACTCCCACATCCAGTTTGAGTCCCAGACTGTGTGGCTTGCTTCCTCACTTTCTCTCTGGTCAAATTAAAAAATCATAGTAAATTAACTTAGGTTAAAAATAAAAGAGGCTAAAAAATAAAAAAATAAAAAAGAGGCTATCTTTTAGTCTGCCACAGTATTTTATTTAGGAATGGGGAAAAAAAAAATACTGACGTGCCTAGGGTCAGCAAGTGGTGTGGTTCCCACACGGGTTATAGTGCAGTTACAGTCCCGGACTTAGCAGTTTGAAAATCATGATGGGTACCTTTCCACGTGTGCCCCAAATCCTAAGAGAATGGAGGAGAAGGGATTGTAGAGTGGCTAGGTAAAACTTAAAAAACAAACAAGAACAGGCAATAAGTGGCATGGATGTTAAGGTGGCTGATCCCATATGGTCAACTGAGGTTTGCCACCTGGATCCAGCAGCTTTAAAATCATGCCGGGCATGAGTGTGTGTGTGCCAAAATCCCAAGAGGAGAATGGAGAAGAGATTGTGGCCTGGCCATCCTCCAGGGTGTTGATTTCTTACTTTCTCTATCTCTGTCTAACCCATATACCCTATGGCAACCTAAAAAACAAATATGTATTTTTTAAAATTTTTTTTTTCTTTTTGGTATTTTATGTACTAGGAAACTGCAGTCATAAACTCTTCCTCATGACCTCACAGGTCAGTCAGTTGCACCCATTTCAGATTAGTATTTTCAGTGACTGTTGAGGTCTAGCACCCTGTGGAATTCCCAGAATAACACCCAGACCCAGAACACCTGACTTCAGATTTATGCATACGCTGGAACAACAAGCTTCGCAAAAGTCTATTTAAAGTTTTATTTTGCATTTAGGAGTCACTCCCAAAATTTCTTTTTAATCGCCAATTCAGAAGACTTTTTTCGTAACGTGGGAAAGTGCTCATCCAAAAAGTCGTAACCAAGGTAACAACGCTTGATCCCACCCAAAATGGCAGCCGAGGACTCCGGGTGCCTGCGGCCCGCCGACCCAGGAAGTGACGTCACGGCTAGTTTCCGGTTCCGCCCGTTCCGGCGCGCGGACCTATCTCGTGTATCCTTGCGGTGCACGTGTGTTCCCGGATTCTGGTGGCGGTAGCAATGGACGCTTTGGATCGAGTTGTGTAAGTGGGCTGGTCCGCTCTCCTGACGTGCGCGAGAAGGGCTTCTCTTGGGGGGACGGCGCCTCCTCTACCCGCTCCGGCCGTCACTCCCACCTGACGCCCCTTTCCGTGGGGCCTGGTGGGGCTGGGCGGTCTACCTGCCCGGGTCTTCTGCTTGTGCAGCCTGCCCACACGGAGACCGGGAAGCCCACGAGTGGGAGCCAGGGATGGGGTGCGGGCGAGGCTTTGGCTGCTTTTAACCCTAGCCGGCCGAAAGACGTCTGGCTGCGGAAGTGTGAGCAAGGGTGGATTGGGAGTGCTTAGAGCACAGGCCTCGGCATCTGACAGGTCTAAGTGACAGTACTGGCGCTTGCCCTTACAAGCGTTGTGACCACTAAGGCTCCCTAAGTCTCAGTTTACTCTGTAAAATAGGGATCATAATAGTCACTGTATAACGAGCTGTGAGAGTTAGGAGAACATGTATAAAGCCTCTGCCACGTAGAAATGCTCAGTAGCTTTTTGTTTTCCTTCCGACTTTGTACACTTCTCTCAGAAAGCAAGAAATCACCCCCCCCATCCCCCACCCCCCGACCCCACGGAGGGGGATGGCCACGCCGCAATCCCTTCTCCTCCTTTCCCCTCTCGGGATCTTGGGCACGCATACACACGCGCCCGGCGTGAGTTTTAAGCCACCGATCTGAGATGCGAACCACGGTAGACTACGTTGGAGTCCAGCGACATAGCCATTAAGCTAACTGCTGTTCCTGAGTGACGTCTGTTTTAAAGTCTTCTAAAAAATATTTATTGAACTCCTAAGTATCCCTGCTCTTATTTGCTATGATTTTTTTTTTTTTTTTGCAATTTTACGTGTTACTCACAAGGACGGTTTCTTTTCAGTTACTAATTCAGATTTTTTGGACACCTATACCTATTGATGTTGGGTGAGACTAGCTTATTGTCTAATTAGGGAAGAAATGACTAATAAAACACATGGAGTGCTATTTGTAGTCATTGTTGGTTAATGGAAGTAGCAAACCATGTGGAAATTAGAGCACACAGCTCTTCTGTATAGGTGTTCTTTAACTGCCTTCATTTGATTTAATAAATTTAATAGTGTGTCTTTTATCAACCAGTAATGGATTAGAGGCTTCATACATGACATTTTATCCAGAGCAGAATTATTAAAATCGTGTTCACTTGTGTTTTTTATTTTTTAGTTAATATTTTAGAAAAAGGCAGTAAGCAATACAGCAGGTGGCATGACAGCTTAGGTGCTGGACTCCACATAACTGACCACGGTTCAAGTCCCAGATCTGGCACTTGAAAATCACGTTGGGTGTGTGCCCAAAATCCCAAGAGGAAAATGGAGATGGGGAGATTATGGCCTGGCCATCCTTTCTGAGAGGTGATTTCCTCACTTTCTTTCCCATTGTCTCTTTCCTATGAATGCTCTTGCCCTATGGCAGAAAAAAAAGACCAGCATGTGGCATGGTGGTTGAGGTGCTGGACTCCCATATAGCCAACTGTAGTTTAAGTCCGTGACCTGGTGGCTTATTTTATTGCTTTTTTGCTCTCTCTTTCTCTGGTGAGAACATGTGCTCTATAGCAAAAATAATAGTAAATAAATAATTCTTCAATTAAAGAAAGATAAAGCAGTATAAAAGAAGCTGGGAGGGGGTGTCAGCAGGTAGCATGGTAGTTAAGGGCGCTGGACTCTCACATGGTTGACCATGGTTCAAGTCCTAGACCTGGCGGCTTGCTTTCTCACCTCTTCCCCACTGTCCCTTTCTGGTAAAATTTAAATGGATGAATAAATAAATAAAATTAAATAAAAAATAATTATTTTTAAAAAAAGAATGCTGGAAAAATCAAAGTGAGAGCTTTAAAAGAAAAAAAAAAAAACCCAAAGCCTAACAAAACACTTATTTAACAGTAACAATGGGATGTCTTTTATAAATATTTACCTACAAAGTGAGATTTTGTTTAATGGTAGAATCCTACCTGATAAGTAATGTTGATTTAATGTCTTCTTGATTTTTAAGAATTTGCACATTTGACAATTCATGGTTTTGCAGTATGTGGAAAATATTTAAATTGTTATAAATTGTGCTTTTCTGAATAGAAAGCCCAAAACAAAAAGGGCTAAGAGATTCCTTGACAAGAGAGAACCGAAACTCAGTGAAAATATTAAAAATGCCATGCTGATTAAAGGTGGAAATGCAAATTCAACAGTGACACAAGTACTTAAAGATGTGGTAAGTATTATACTTTTTAAAATGGTATTTAAATCATTTTAGAAGTTTCAGCATACTAGGCTGAGCTGCTAGAGAAATACATGGATAAGTTGTCTTAAGAACTATTGGGTCATTGGGAAAGTCATGATACATGTTTGCATAGAAAAACATAGAAAAATAGCATCATGACTTTCCCAACAACCTAATGTTATTCTAGTTTTAGAGGACAGAAGCTCAAATTGGAGGGCCGGGAGGTGGCATGGTGGTTAAGGTGCTGGACTCCCATATGGTTGACTGTGGTTCAAGTCTTGGACCTGGCAGCTTGCTTTTGTACTTTCCCTCTCTCTCTCTCTCTGTGTCTCTCAGATCAAATGAAGAAATAATAATAATACATTAAATTAAATAAAATAATTATTTAGGGACCAGCAGGTAGCATGATGGTTGGAGCACTGGACACTCCCACATGGCTGACCAGGGTTAGAGTCCTGAATCTGGTGGCTTGCTTTCTCACTTCTTCTCTTTCTCACTCTCTGTCTCTCTCTGGTCAAATTAAAAAAATAAATGAATGAATAAATAAAATAAATAATTATTTTTAAAATTCAATAAAATAATAATAATTATTATTTTTTTAAAAGCTCAAGTTGGAGATCATTTGCTCTGCCAAGGCATTGACTGTTGATGGTCCTTAAAGTAACTAGTTCCCTTAATAAATTTAAACTGATTTTGGTTACTAGAATTTGGTTTACTCACATTTTAGGAACACATCAATTTTTCTTTTTTTTTTTGAGAAGTTTTTGCCATAGGGTGCATGAGCTCGCCAGACAGACAGAGACAGAGAAACAGAAAGTGAGAAATCACCCCCCAGGGGCGATGGTCATGCCGCAATCCCTTCTCCTCCGTTCTCCTCCCAGGATCTTGGGCACACATGCACACGCACCCGGCGTGAGTCTTAAGCCACCAGGACGCGAACCGCAGTTGACTACATGGGAGTCTAGTGACATAGCCATTACGCTAACTGCTGGTCCCGGAACATATCAATTTTTAAAGTAAAGTAACTGCATATAGTATTACTGAATATTTAATCAGCAACATAGTTCCTGTGCCAGGTACTGGGAATTAATAGATAAGCTACAGTCCCCTCTCTTTAGTAAGCATACTAAGAGAAACAAACATGTAAGAAGTTACATCATTGTGTATTAAGTATGGTGGAGGTATGTGCAGGGTAGAGTAGGAAACAATTAAAATGGCATAGGGAGACTCACACACAGGGGTCCCAGAGATAACACTTAAACTTGATTTTAAAGGAGGAATTGGAGGGAGGGAGTAAGAGAAGGGTTTCCACAGCTGAAGAAGTGTGTGCACAAGGGAGTATAGGGAAGCATGATGCATTTGGAGAACTGCAAATGCTCATAAGTGGCGGTAGCTAAAGGAGAGTGGGATAGAAGATGATGTAGAGATCATATAGTAACATGGAGCTTGAGTTACAATCTGAAGTTCTGTGGACTTGGAAAGATTTTAAAAGATGCGATCAGTCTTTTTTTTTTTTTTTTTCTTTTGAAATGTCTTATTTTATTTAGATAACATTCTGATCACACATGGTCCAAGCACATTCAAATAATAAATCGAATATATAATCAGATGTTAAAAGATTGGTCTTCAAACGTTATAGCCAACGATGCCACATTTGCCTATGATCTCGCCAATGTAAAACCACACCTACATCTCAGTGACCACCAAACCATTCAGTAGAGCATCCTTAACGTGAGCTGTTTGAAGCTACCGGTTTGAGCACTACTGACTTTTTTTTTTTTTTTTTTGGAGAGATTTTCACTGTAGGGCGCGTGCGCTCGCCAGACAGAGAGAGACATAGAAACAGAAAGCGAGAAATCACCCCCCAGGGGGGATGGTCACGCCGCAATCCCTTCTCCTCCATTCTCCTCTCGGGATCTTGGGCACGCACGCACACGCGCCCGGCGTGAGTTTTAAGCCACCGGGTCCAGGACACGAACCGCGGTCGACCACGTGGGAATCCAGCGACATAGCCATTACGCTAACTGCTGGTTCCCCTGACTATTTTTTTTCAGGCTCCGAATAGCTGTAGGGATCTCAGCAGGGGTTGGAGGAACTAGCTCAACCTTGGCATAGTGTAAAATGTGGCTAATCGAGGCTTTGAGTAAGTCACAGCAGCATTCACCAGCACGGAGACCTTCTCTGCGAGGTTACAGATTAATGAAATCAACTAAGTCATTTAATACATTTTTACACTCGACTAAACTCCCTTTGCTTATAGTCTTTTCAGATAACTGAATGCCTATACATGTTCATTATTTTAAAAAAATTTTTAAATAGGAGCCATCAGGCAGCATGGTGGTTAAAGGTGCTAGACTTCCTCATGGCACCACGGTTTGAGTCCTGGACCTGGCACCTTACTTTCTCACTATCTTTCTCTCTCTATCTTACTCTGGTCAAATTTTTAAAAAAGATGATAAATAAAGGAAATAATTCTTTTTAAAAAAGTAAATAATTTTATTTTATTTATTATTATTATTTTAAACTTGTTATAGACTATGTGCACTCACCAGAGAGAGATGGGGGTGGGGGAGTGAGAAAGCAAGACACCAGGTATGACTTGAACCATGGTCAGCCATGTGGGAGTCTAGCACCCTAACTACCATGCTACCTGGTAGCCCCTAAATAAAATGTTTTTTTAAGTTTATTTCTTCTCTGAGTGAGACAGACTGGCACCCTCAACAGAATTTTGATGTGTAATCCACCCCAGCTTCAGCCAGTCCCACATTATGGTCAGACACATGTTTGGTGGTCTCTGGGAGGTCTCCAGATGGGAATCTGGAACTTTTCAAGTGGATCAGCCTCACAGAATATCATTTTACCACTGCACCACTGTCTAGCTTCATGTTAATCCTTTTTCTTTTAATTGTAGAGGGTACATGTACTCAGCCAAAGGTGGGGGCAGGGAGAGAGAATGAACATGTCCCTGGTTTGTTTTTTTCAAGCTACAGGGTCTAGAACTTGAACCACAGTTGGCCATGTAGGATCTGGCTTACAGTGCAGTGTTTAAACTCTGTTCTGTGGGGCTGGCCTGCCTGTTCTTTTCTGAAATGTCTGTCTGAATGTCATTTTGAGACATAGACTTCCTCCAGTATCCTGTTATATAATAAACCGATGTATTTAAGTAAGCTCTAATTCTTTCTCTTTTTCTGTTTTTGTTTGTTTGTTTTTTTAATATGTTATAGGCTGTATGTGCTCAACAGAGAGAAGTGAGAAAGCACCTCCCAAGGGGCAAGGCCACTCACAATTCCTTTTCCATTCTCTTATGATTTTGGGCATTCATGGGCATGTGCCTGGTGTGTTTCTCAAGCCACAGCATCCAATATATCCCTTTTTTAAGGGCTTTGTTTAAACTCTGGCGGATATTCCGATTATTACCATTGTGGATTGCATTCTTTTCTTTGCAGACAACGTTATTTTAGTTCCATCAGCTTTTCCTAGTAGGATTTATATTTTTTCCTTTTTCTTTCTACTCAGATTGTTTGCTTAGAGAGAACAGGTTTGATAGAATATAAAGAAATGAAGAGAATCATTTACGTGGAATAGGCTATCAAAAGGGCATAGAGGGACCAGCAGTTAGCGTAATGGCTATGTCACTGGACTCCCACGTAGTCGACCGTGGTTTGAGTCCCGGACCCGGTGGCTTAAACTCACGCCAGGCATGTGTGCGTGCGTGCCCAAGATCCCAAGAGGAGAATGGAGGAGAAGGGATTGCGGCATGGCCATCCCCCCTGGGGGGTGATTTCTTGCTTTCTGTCTCTCTCTCTCTCTCTCTCTCTCTCTCTCTCTCTCTGTCTGGCGAGTGCACACGCCCTATAGCGAAAACCTCTCCAAAAAAAAAAAAAGAAAAAGAAAAGGGCATAGACACCTTTAATTAGGTAAATCTAATCTAAGAATAGTAAACTAATGTTACAAGATATTTCAGGTTATCAAAACGGAATCTAATGGGGGACCAGCAGTTAGTGTAATGGCTATGTTGCTGTACTCCCATGTAGTCGACCACGGTTTGCCTCCCGGACCCGGTGGCTTAAACTCATTCCGGGCACATGTGCGTGCGTGCCCAAGATCCCGAGAGGGGAATGGAGGAGAAGGGATTGCGGCGTGGCCATCCCCCCTGGGGAGTAATTTCTCACTTTCTGTCTCTCTGTCTCTCTCTGTCTTTCTAGCGAGTGCATGCGCCCTATAGCAAAAACCTCTCAAAAAAAAAAAAGGAAGCTAATGGAAAACATCAGAACAGGATTCAGGGACCAGACTGATCTTACAGCGTGAATGTTACTGCAAATTATTTTTATCTGCTTTTCAGAATGTGTTTTGTTTTGAAAACTATAAATTATGTTTTACAGTATGCACTGAAGAAACCGTATGGTGTTATGTATAAAAAGTAAGTCATTTCTTTTATGTTAAATAGTTTTGTTTCTTTATAAAAGTAAGTACTGCTTTATGAAAAATTGAGGAAAAAATTGTTCAGAGTTACTGTGTTCCTTAAGTGTAGCTGTTAGTACTATATTTAAGTTTTTTTCCTGGACTGTTTCATTTGTATCAAGTGTTCTTACACACTTGTAATAATAGTATATATGCTTTATTTTTAATTAATTGTAGATTTACATAAAAGTTGCCAAAAATAATACAGAATTCCAATAGACCCTCCACCCAACTTCCCCCAGTGTTAAATCTTGCATAACCATAGTACAGTTAATAAAACTAAGAAGTCAGTGTTGGTGCAATAATATTAAGTACATTTCAGACTGACTTATTTGGTTGGTACCAGTTTTTCCTCTTATCGCCTTTTTCTCTTTTGACATCCTACATTGCTTTTAGCTGTCTTCAATTTGTGACAATTCCTCAGTCTTTGATAACCTTGACACTTGTTGAGAATTTGTCAGTTATTTTGTAAATTAATCCCTCCATTGGGGGGTATGTCTTAAGTTTTCTCAAGAATAAACTGAGGTTGGGACCAGCATTTGGTATAATGGCTACGTCGCTGGGCTCCCATGTAGTTGACGGTGGTTCAAATCCCAGACCTGGTGGCTTAAACTCACAATGGGTGCATGTGCATGTGTGCCCGAGATCCCGAGAGGAGAATGGAGGAAAAGGGATTGTGGTGTGGCTATCCTCCCAGGGGGGGATTTCTCGCTTTCTGTCTCTCTGTGCCTTTCTGGCAAGTGCATGTGCTCTATAGCAAATAAACCTCTCAAAAAATTAATAATAAATTGAGGTTAAGCTTTTTTATTGGTCAAGAACACCACAGGAATGATGTTTTTCTCAGTAAATAATCTGAGGAGATACATAGGGTACAATGTGTCTTTGCAGTTTTTGTAAAAATTTATTTTTTCCATGAGAAAGATCCAGGCACCCCAAAATAGGGTCCCCATGCCATGATTGAACCCCAGCCTCAACCAACCAGGATCGTGAACATGTGTATGCTCAGTATGTACAGGGTGGCCTCAGGACAAGAACATGGGTCTTCCCCATGTGCCCTCCGCATTTCAGAGTGTTGGGTTGCTTCTACACCACCGTAGCTACCCTGTAAAATAATACTTTATGCTGTGCAGTTTTAGGGGTTTTAACAAATACATTGAGTTGTATCTGCTGCCATGATCCTGACACAGAACAGTTGTATTGCCCTAAAAGCTCCCTTTTGTAGTGCTTCTGTGTAGTCAGAGCTCCCTGTTCTCTACCCCTGGAAACCAGTAATTTGTTTCTCATTCCTCTAGTTTTCCCTTCTCTAGAACGTCACATAAATACCATTGTATACCATGTGGCCTCTGGCACTTTTTTTTTTTTTTTTTTTTAGTTTGTTTCATGTGAGAGAAAAGGATAAGCACTCTTGCACTCTCAACAGGGTCTCATGCTGCAGTTGAAGTCCTACTGCCTCCCAGCGTTGTGGGAATGTGTGCCCACACCTTGTATATACAGTTGACCTGGAATCAAGTGATTTCTCACTATCCCTCTCCCTGTCTCTCTCCAGGAAGCACATATGCCCTATGGCAAAAGCCTTATTTAAAAAAAAAAAAAACTGACTAATACAGTAGTTACGTTAATCCTAGAGGAATAAATCATCATCCATAGATAAGTGTTGTGTACATTTGATGTATTTTTCTCCCAGTATATTTTCCATATTTATACATTCATTTTATTTGTGTTTTTTTTTTTTCCCTTTGACAAATTTGTCACAGGGCACGAGTGCTTGCCAGAGAGAGAGTGAGAGAAGAAAGGGGGGAAGGCATCCTCCAGTGGGACGTGGTCATCCTGCAATCCTTCCTCTTCGATCTCTAACCTGTCAGGGTTTTGGTATGTGTGCACACATGGCTCTGCATGTCCTTTTATTCTTATAAACAGAATAGCATGTTTTTTTTTTTGGAGAGGTTTTTGCTATAGGGCGTGTGCACTCGCCAGACAGAGAGAGACAGAAAGCAGGAAATCACCCCCCAGGGGGGATGGCCACGCCACAATCCCTTCTCCTCCATTCTCCTCTCGGGATCTTGGGCACGCACACACACGCACCCGGCGTGAGTTTAAGCCACCGGGTCCGGGACTCGAACCACGGTCGACTACGTGGGAGTCCAGCGACATAGCCATTACGCTAACTGCTGGTCCCAGAATAGCATGTTGTTATATGATTTTGTTTTCTTTTCTCTCTCTCTTTTTTTTTTTTTTTTTAATTTGCTATGGGGCCTGTATGCTCTCTAGAGAGAGAGAGAGAGAAAGAGAGAGAGGGAAAGTGAGAAAGCATTCCCTTAGGGGATGACCATGCTGCAATCCCTTCTGCAGTTTTCTCTTGGGATTTTGAGTAACTCACCTGGCTTGTCTTTGAAGCCACCAGCTCTGAGAATTGAACCATGCAGTTGGCCACGTGGGGTGTCACCACCTTAACCACAGGGCCACCTTGCTAGCTCGATTTTTTTTCCCTTTATTTTAGCTTTTTTTTTTAATTTTATGTTAGGGCACATGTGCTTGTGGCAGAGAGAAAGACAGACAGTGAGAGGGAAGGTGAGAAATTACCTCCTGGGGGAGATGGCCATGCAGTAATCTCTTCTCCATTCTCCCCTCAGGATTTTGGACATGTATGCACATGCTCCTGGTGTGAATTTGAAGCCTCTGGGCCTGGGACTCAAACGACGGTTGACCATGTGGGAGTCCAGCAATGTGACCATGATGCCATCTGCTGGTCCCAGCTTGGCATGATTTCCAAGCTGCCCAGTCTGGTACTCAAATCACAGTCAGCCATGTAGGTGCCTAGCACCTTAACCTGGCCTCCAATTTATTTTCTCTCGTGTCTTTCCAGAATTTGTTTAGGCATATTTAAATGCATAAAAATATATATTCTTGTTAATTTCCCTTTTCACTTGGAAGATAGCATGTTCTGCATTCCTCTCCACCCTGTTCTCTAGGTCCACTGGTACTTCTGCTCCAATCCACTGGTTTTCTCGTCTTCTTCTAGGTGCTGTGAGAGCTTCTTACCAGCACTTGTCAGTCTTGCTGCGGAGTAGCCTGTTCTCAGAAATCAGAGTGGTCCTGGGACGCGCAGTTAGTGTAATGGCTATCTTGCTGAACTCCCACGTAGTCGACCGCGGTTCGAGTCCCGGACCCAGTGGCTTAAACTCACACCGGGCACATGTGCGTGCGTGCCCAAGATCCCCAGAGGAGAATGGAAGAGAAGGGATTGCAGCATGGCCATCCCCCAGGGGGGTGATTTCTCGCTTTCTATCTCTCTGTCTCTCTCTGTCTTTCTGGCGAGCACATGCACCCTATAACAAAAACCTCTCCAAAAAAAAGAAAGAAAGAAAGCAGAGTAGTCTTTTAATTAGGGAGTATAAATTGGATTGTATTATTCTTTTTTTTTTTTTAATGGAGGAATTTAATATTTTATTATGTTATTTTGCTGCAAAGTTGTTGCTTCAACGATATCAAATAGTACCAGCAAATGCAGTATATGGGAAAACTACAGTAGTACTGCTCTTTAACACTATACAACTAACAAAAACTTTTCTCCACTCCCACTTATTTCCAATGGAGAGAAAGCGAAGTATTCTGACCCACATCCACAGATGGTTATATACACTATTATATAAGGCTTAGGATAACAATGTTTTCACTAATTACATATTTTTATAACTAGTTTTTAATCACAGATAATTTCATGAATTATCTGTGCATAGACTAAGAATCATAGAACATTGTGAAAAGATGCATTTTGTGTTTATTAAAAATATGATTAGAAAGTTAAGGGGTTTTTCTTTCCAGTAGTGATGTTTAGAGTAGTTTATTTTTCCACTGGTATTGCTAAAAGTTGCAATTTAAGTCTTCTATCAACCACTAATTTAAGAAAACTATGCCTGGATTAAGTTGTTTTACACTACTTTATTTAAAGGTTCTACTTTTACTCTTCAATAGACTTTACGTATTTCTCATAGGCATCTTCACTCATTGGTTTATCTGGTTCTGAAGGATTACTCAGTGCCACCTTGATCAGCCAACCATCTTTATAACAAGATTTGTTGACAAGTCCTGGATTTCCTGCAAGAGCTTCATTAATTTCAGTTACTTCTCCTGACAGAGGAGAATAGAGTTCACTAGCAGCTTTTACACTTTCCAAAGCACTAAACTCACCTTGTTTGTTCAGTTTTGTCCCAACTTCCTGTCCCTACTATAAACATCTCCCAAAGCTTCCTGTGCAAAATTGCTGATTCCAACTGTTCCAATACCGTTTTCTGTTGTTATCCACTCATGTTTCTCCGTGAATTTACGCACCGACAGCAGAGCTGGTCCCGTGCAGTGTCTGGACAGTGCCCACCTGCAGCAACCCAGGGCCGCGGCAGGCAGGGCACAGCCACAGGCAGGCTGCAGGTCACCGCCCGCACACTCCACGCCACTCACCTGGATCATATTCTTTTGTCTTCAACCCTCCAGTGTTTCCTGTTATCTTCTGATACGTGAACTCCATTTCCAGGTCTTACATAGTCTGTGCCTTGTCTAGTCTGACTCGTGCCCCGTTATTAGCGCCTTTGCCCAGGTGCTCCAGTGATGCTTTCAGCCCTCTCCCCAGTTTTTCATAGTTCCAACTGGTTTCTTTCAAAATTTTTGCTTCTGTTTTTTCTCTCTCTCGTTTGCTATACAGTGCATATGCTCGCCAGAGAAGGAGGCTGAGAGAGAGAACGTGAGAAACGTCTGGTAGGATGGCCACGCCACAATTCTTTCTCTTCCATTCTCCTCTTGGGATTTTGGGCACACGTGCCTGGCATGTTTTTCAGGTTGCTGGATCTGGGACTAGTACCTCAAAGTTGGCCATGTGGTATCCGGCCACCTTAACCACCATGCTACTGGCTGACTCCAATGTGCTGTTTTTCATTTCTACTTTTACACTGACACATGATAATCATTTATATTATATGATGTTTTCATATATGTGTGCAGTGTGTAATGATCAAATTAGAGTAATTAGTGTATATGTCACCACTAATAGTCATTATTTCTTTGTAGTGAGAACATTCAAAATCCTTTCTGGTAGCAGTTTTGAAATATATGTGTGTTGGGAACCAGCAGTTAGCGTAATGGCTATGTCGCTGGACTCCCACATAGTCGACTGCGGTTCGGGTCCCGGACCCGGTGGCTTAAAACTCACGCCGGGCGCATGTGCGTGCGTGCCCAAGATCCCGAGAGGAGAATGGAGGAGAAGGGATTGCGGCGTGACCATCCCCCCTGGGGGGTGATTTCTCGCTTTCTGTCTCTATGTCTCTCTCTGTCTGTCTGGCGAGCGCACGCGCCCTACAGTGAAAATCTCTCCCAAAAAAAAAAAAGAAAAGAAATATATGTGTGTGTGTGTGTGTGTGTGTATGTGTATATATATATATGTGTGTGTGTGTGTATATATATATATACATACACACACACACCTATACATATATATTTTAAGAATTATTTTATTTAACTTATTTATTCATGTATTTATTTTAATTTGACCAGAGAGGGACAGACAGAGAGTGAGAAAGCAAGCCACCAGGTTCAGGACTAGAACCACGGTGGGCCATGTGGGAGTCCAGTGTCCTTAACCACCACACCACCTGCTGGCCCCTTGAAGTATATTGTTAAATGTAGTCTCCCTACTATAAGTAGAACATAGGAGCTTGTTCCATCTGTCTGTAACTTTGTACTGATTGACCAACCTCTCCTCATTCCTTCTCTGCTACCTTTTTTAGCCTCTGGTAACCACCATTCAACTCTCTACTGCCCTGTTTTATGTTTGCCACAGCAAATTGTTTTTAAACTAGAATGTAACTCTGTGAAAGCAGCATCTTGTTTAACATGGTGTTATAGTATCCCTAGCTCCTCAAAGGGTGCCTGGCACATAGCAGGCACTGAGTGAGTGCATATTCTGTCAGGCTTTTTATTTTATCATCTGAATGTAAAACTATCTTTTGCATGTTACTTATTAGGTTATTGGGAAAGTCATGGTTTATTTTTCTTTTCTTTTTTTTTTTGGAGAGGTTTTTGCTGTAGGGCGTGTGTGCTCGCCAGAAAGACAGAGAGAAACAGAGAAACAGAAAGCGAGAAATTACTCCCTAGGGGATGTCCACACCGCAGTCTCTTCTCCTTTCTCCTCTCAAAATCTTGGGCACACACACACACACGCCCGGCGACTCGGACTATGGTCGACTACGTGGGAGTTCAGCGACATAGCCATTATGCCAACTGCTGGTCCCAGTCATGGCTTATTTTTCTATGCAAAATGCATCATGACTTTCCCAATGACCCAGTAGTTACATTTAGTTAATTGAGATTATTAAAATTGGACTCATCTTTTTTATACTCTTAGGAAAAATGTTACAAGACCATTTGAGGATCAGACATCACTGGTAAGTATTAGTCTTCCTATTTAACAGTGTGTGTAAGTGGTTATGCAGAGTAATTCATGTTATACTTCTAACTTGTGATTTTTTTTTTAATTGAAAATCATTCTATATAGGGGAATTCTGATGTAAAATGGAAGGGAAATAAGACATTTATTTATTTTCATATGCCAGAGGATATGTGTGCTCACCAGAGAGAGGGAGAAAGCACCTTAACAATCAGACATTGTCACAATATACCCCGTCTCCCTTCATTTCTCCATTCCGTAGGGGTTTTGGGTGCACATGCACATGGAATCAATATGTGTTTCAAGCTGTGTGGGCTAGGATTTGAATTGCAGTTGGTCTGGCTCCCTGAACTACTAACCTATAGAGATGGTCGTAAGACCCATATACTTTCTTTTTTTCTTTTCTTTCTTTCTTTTTTTCTTGGAGAGGTTGGGGTATGCTTTCTCACTTTCCCTCTCTCTCTCTCTCCTGTCTCTCTGGTGAGCACATCACCCTGTTGCCACTTTGTGGCAGTATTGTGTTGTAAATCTGTAGCACTCTGTGTACTTCTTTTTCTATCCAGTGTTGATAGGACAGATTTTCTTATACTAAAAGTTCTGACATTCCCTGTCTCTGATCTCTCCCCTTCAGAGGTAGGATACTTATAGTTCATTGGCTGTAATAAAGATCAGACCTCCAGAGCTTAAAGTGGCTATGGAAAGAATTGTTGTATTGGAAAAGTGGTCAACTTTCTCCTCCTGACCTTCCCCTTGCACACATTTCTTTCACCACAATCTTGGAAATGTACTTTGGTGCTGTTGAACAGGGGTTGGCAAAAATATACTGCCTGAGGATTAAATCCCTGTTTATGTGAGGCCAATGTTCGGGGTAATTTGACTGCTCTTGGAATTTTAACTAACAGAAGCAGACTGGACAAGAGCAGAAGTGAGTTTTTATTTTTGTGTGTGTGCACGTATGAGGGGTATTTTAAAGAAAGCGTTCTCACAATGTGAGAATGTTTAAACAAAACATTTTAAGAAAGCATTTCTGTTGATTTAGACATTATTAAAAATATTTTGAACCTGCACTCTTGCCAAGCAAGTAAGGTACAAAGTATGCAAATGTGACATTGGTGATAGCAGTGATATCCTGTGGGTACAGGGATTTGCTCGGCAAATGAAATAGTTGGTGTGCTGTTTGAAAATGACTACACAGCTGAAAAAAAGAAGGGCCTCATTTTACTTATTAATCTACTAGTTTTCATATATTTTAAGTTTTGAGATGTAAATCTCTTTACTAGGTACTCAGAATCAGAAGTACCTAGTAAAAAGGTAGTAGGTACTTTAAGTCTTTAAGTGTTACTTAAAGTAAAAACTTAGAAATAAAATACTTTTCCTCTGTATATCTCTATCTAGTTTGTTAAGACTTTATTATATTAAGAATAAATGAATAAATAAAATTAAATTAAAAAGTAATTATTTAAAAAAGACTTTAACTGAAAAATATCAATATACCTATTTTTATTTATTTTTTTTACATTTTTTTAAGTTCAAAGTAAGATGAAAGGTTAGTACATATATGCATTGACCAAGTGGGATTTGTTTGGTTTTGTAGGAATTCTTTTCAAAGAAGTCGGATTGTTCTTTATTCATGTTTGGCTCCCATAATAAAAAGCGGCCAAATAATCTGGTAATAGGTAAGTATCATTTACTTGCTAATGTTTGTATTTACAGAGTCATCGCTATGACTCAGATGAACAGATGATATTGAGTTTTCAGGAGTAATTCATAAGCTCTAAACTGGCTTTTTTTTTTTTTTTTTTTTTTTTTTTTTTTTTGGGGGTTTTTCTCTTTGGCGTGAAAAAACAGACAGACAGAGAGAGACATAGAGACAGAAAGCGAGAAATCACCCCCCAGGGGGGATGGCCACGCTGTAATCCCTTCTCCTCCATTCTCCTCTTGGGATCTTGGGCACACGCGCACACGTGCCCCGCGTGAGTTTTAAGCCACTGGGTCCGGGACGCAAACCGCGGTCAACTACGTGGGAGTCCAGCCACATAGCCATTACGCTAACTGCTGGTTCCCTAAACTGGCTTTTAAATTTTTTTTGCTATAGGGTGCATGTGCTTACCAGAGGGAGAAAGGGAAAATGAGAAAGCAGTCCCCTTCTCAGGGGGGATGGCAATGCCACAGTCCCTTCTCCTCCATTTTTTTCTTGGGATTTTGGGCAAGCATGCACATGAGATCAGCATGGTCTTTTTCAAGCTGCTAGGTCCAGGACTCAAACCCTGTTGGCCATGTGAGATCCAGCTGCCTTAACTACCTAACATGCCACTGGCTGGTCATGTTTTTTATTTATTTATTTTTTAAGGTTTTAGTCATAGGGCACGTGTGTTCACCAGAAAGAGACAGAGACAGGGAAAGTGAGTAATCACTTCCCAGGGGGGATGGCCACACCACATTTCCTTCTCCTCCAGACTCCCCTTGGGATTCGGGACATGCGTGCACATGTGCCCGGTGCAGTTTTCAAGCCACTGGGTCTGGGACTCAAACTGCAGTCAGCCATGTCAGAGTCCAACACCTTAACTAGTATACCACCTGCTGACCTTAGCTGGTCTGTTTTTTAACCTGGTGACTTTGAATAAAAATATTTATTATGTACCAGTAAATAATGGAACATGTAAATATTACTCTATCAATACAGGGAAATAACACAATGAGAAAGAATACAAACGGGTTCTTCAGTTAGTTGTGTTTCTTAAAATGCCACTGCTTTCTGTCTCTTGGAAACAGCTTCTGGTTTAAGCAGGAAATGTAGCCTCTTGGGATTCTCCACGTCCCTGCTTACCCAGCTCTTGATGTACTCTGGTTATCATGTACTTGCATTGAGTGTCATTGAGCTTCCACATATCATGGGTCCAATGAAGCTGGGGAAAAAATATTTAGTCTTCAGGCCCACCATGGTAGTGCATGCTGGTAGACACTGCTTTTCAGCAGACTGGGGCCACATGGGGAGCCCACATTTGATTCCTGGGCCACCTAAAACCAGCACAATGGCATAGTTATAGTGCCAGCTACTTAGTAGGCCAAGGCAGAAGGATTGTGACATAAAAAGATGATATCATTAAAAAGCAATTTACCCTGGGACCAGCAGATAGCGTAATGGTTACATTGCTGGACTCCCATGTAGTCTACCGCTGTTCTATTTCTGGGCCCAGCGGCTACAAACTCATGCCAGGTGCCTGTGCATGTATATCCAAAATCCTGAGAGGAGAATAAAGGAGAAGGGATTGCGATGTGGCTGTCCCCTCTGGGGGAGAGGGGGTGATTGCTTGCTTTCTGTCTCTGCCAAGCACGCATGCCCTATAGCAAAAAGCTCTCTCTTAAAAAAGAATTTTTTTAAAAATCCTACTTTTAAGTTGCAGGGAAAAAACCCCTTACCAAGGTGTATTGAGATTTGGTCTGGCATGCTCACTGGCTTATGCAAGTCCTTTACCTCTGTGGGCCTAATTTATTTATTATTCTTTAAAATAAAGGAGCAGGGAGACCAGCAATTGGTGTAATGGTTATGTCGCTGGACTCCCATGTAGGCGACCACAGTTTGAGTCCCAGACCCGGTAGCTTAAACTCACGCTGGGCACGTGTGCATGTGTGCCCAAGATCCCAAGAGGAGAATGGAGGAGAAGGGATTGTGGCATGGCCATCCCTCCTGGAGGGTTATTTCTCACTTTCTGTCTCTCTGTCTCTGTCTTTCTTATAGCGCATGAGCCCTATAGCAAAAACCTCTCAAAAATAAAATAAAATGAAGGAGCAGGGATAAATGATCTCTTAGATCTGTTCCATGACTAATTTATATTGTATTGGTTCATTTTGGATAGAACTGAAGATTGACCAAAGAGGGAGCATGTTTTAAGGGGGAAAAGGGAAGAGGCAGGTGTTAGAACATTTTGGAGGGGTTTTTGTTATAGGGCACGTGCACTCTCCAGAAAGACAGAAAGAGACAGAGAGACAGAAAGCAAGAAATCACCCCCCCCCAGGGGGGATGGCCACGCCACAATCCCTTCTCCTCCATTCTCCTCTCACGACCTTGGGCATGCACGCACATGCGTCTGGCATGAGTTTAAGCCACCGGGTCCGGGACTCGAACCGCAATCGACTACATAGGAGTCCAGTGACATAGCCGTTACACTAACTGCTGGTCCCGGTGTTAGAACATTTTGAACATGCAGATAAATGGGTATGTATAAGGTGGCTGTTTGGGAAAATACTGTACTTAAAAATGCATTTTTCTTCTAGGTCGTATGTATGACTATCATGTGCTGGATATGATTGAATTAGGCATTGAGAAGTTTGTATCTCTAAAAGATATTAAGGTAAGACCAGCAGATGGCATAATGGTTACGTCACTGTACTTCGATGTAGTTGACCATGGTTGGAATCCTACTCCTAGAAGCTTAAACTCTCACTGGGTGCATGTGCATACATGCTGAAAAAATCTCGAGATGAGAATGGAGGAGAAGGGATTGAACCGTGGCTACAATCCCTTCTGGGGGATGATTTCTCACTTTTAGTCTCTCTGTCTCTCTCTGTCTCTTGGGCGAGTGCACGTGTCCTATAGCAAAGATCTCTCTTTAAAGAAAGATATTGGTCATAAAGATAAAAAGTGTTTTGTAATGTTGCTCTTTTTTTTAAGTGACTTTTTAAAATTTTTTTATTTTTTAGTATTTATTATTTTTATACATTCAGTCATTATACATCATTTAGTTTGTAAAGAGAGTCTAGCTGACATGATATATGCCACAGAGCAGACGAGTTGATACTACTATACACATCATCACCAACAGGCAACAAACCAAATCTGTGTAATTCAAATGTCTTACTTCTCCATATTTTCCCAAATTTCCCTTCCTGAACTCTTTTTTTTTTCTTTACCTTTTTTTTAAAATTTATTCATTCTCTACATTAATTCACTATACACCATCACAACACACCAATGAATTTTCCATCCAAAATACACTGTGCATTGGCTCAATCAAGCACATCAACATACATGTTCTCAGCAAATAATTTTCCAGTTCTTATGTCCTGCATACCTTGCCTTTTGTTTTGCCATCCTTGATTCCCCATCCCCCACCCTCTGCCATGTCCCATCCTCCTCCCACATTGTCGCTGGCATCCACGGTTGCCCTCCATGCCTTGTAATGTTGCTCTTGACGAATAATAACATCTTGTGAGGATTACTGATAGAGTTATGTAAACAAAAAAAAAGTGTGTTTTTATTCTGGCATGCTCCAAGGTAAAAGTGTAGTTTTATTTTACTTTTAAAATTATTTTCTTGGGGCCAGCAGGTGATGTGGTTGGGGGTGCTTGACTCCCACATGACTGTCCATGGTTCAAGTCCCGGACCTAGTGGCTTACTTTCTCACTTGCTCTCTGGTCAATTTTTTTTTTTAAATAAAGAATTATCTTATTTAACTTTATTTATTTACTTATTTTATTTTCATTTGGCCAGAGAGGTACAGAGTGAGAGAGGACAAGTGAGAAAGTAAGCTGCCAGGTCTGGGACTCAAACCACAGTCAGCCATGTGGGGTCCAGTGCTCTTAATCACATGCCACCTTCTGGCCCCCTCTGGTCAAATTTTTAAAAGATAGTTATAATAAATAAAAATGAAGTAAATGATTCTTTTTAAAAATTATTTTTTTTACTCATAACAGAGCATGTGTGTGTGCACAAGGGAGTGAAAGAGTAAAATGAGCAGTCCCCACAGGGTCTGTCCATGCTGCAGCCCCCTCCCTCTAGTTTTCCAGGTCTCTGGATCCTGGGCACTTGTGCATGTGTACCCAATGTGTTGCAGGCTGACCAGGCTGGGGGCTTAACTGCAGCCGGCATGTTGGATGGGTTTCTGAGCAGAGTTTTACCGCTGTGCCACTCAGCCAGCCCTTCTTGTAAAAAGGAGAAAGCGTTTATAGTGCATCACACTTGGATCTTGCAGCAGTTAGACTTCAGACTGCGATTACTAACTCTTGTTTAGGCCCACAGTTTAAACGCTGTCCTCTCCTCCTGAATTATCACTTACCCCAGGAATGTTAGTAGCAATTTCAAGTTGAGCCCTGTTATAAACCCAGGAAGCTCTGGCTGATCTAACCACATTTCGGCTCTGAGCCATCAGCTTGCTAGCTCGAGCTGTCCCTTGGGGACTTGCATCTTTGTGTCTTGTTTGTTTGAATAGTATTATGAAATAGAAAGCAGTAAATAGTATCCTGACCTCCATGACGCAGGTGGTAGTGTACGGAGCTGCAGTTCTGGAAGCCACGTGTCTGACTGTAGGTTTGAATTCCCAATTGTCCTGAAAACACACCGGGTGCACAGGAATCTTGTCGCACTGGAGGGTTGGTAAAGGGAATTATAATGTGACAAGACCCTAGAAAGGGTTCCCTCTATTTCTCGTCTCGTGAATAAAATAATCTTAAAGAAAAGAAGTAAACATGGTAACAATAGTCTTTGGGGGGTGCAGCAGGTGGTGTGGTGGTTAAGAGTGCTGGACTCCCACATGGCCAACGATGGTTCAAGTATCGGACCTGGTGTCTTGCTTTCTTGCTTTCTTTCTCTCTCTCTCTCTCTCTGTCTCTCATTCTGCCCCTCTCTGACCAAATGAAAATAAATGAATAAATAAAGTTAAATAAAATAATTCTTTAAAAAGAAATAGTCTTAGGAAGAATGGTGTTCTAATTCTGCTCTTGGGTGCAAGTTCTCCTCACAACTCTGCTTCTGACCTAGTCTGTCCCACATTATTGCACGTAGACCCCATAGCCACACTGTATAAGGGTACGTTCGTTTCCCTGTGGTATAGATTTGGAGATTGAGGCCCAGGAGGTCTCACTGGTGACCTTCAGCTTCACACATAGTATAACCAAGATTAGGACTCAAGGGCTTCGAGAGAAAGAATATTGTTTGTAATGGAAACTTATGTAACTATTCTCAGTTTGTTTTGTTTTGTTTTGTTTTTAAAGATTTTTACTGAAGGGCATGTGTGCTCACCAGAGAGAGGGAAAGTGGAAATCCACTCCTCTAAGGGAATAGTCATGCCACAATCCCTTCTCCTCCATTCTTCTGCTGGGATTTTGGGCATGTGTGCACACCTGCTTGGTATTTTTAAGCTGCCTGGTCCAGGACTTGAACTGTAGTTGGACATAGTTTACGGGGTTTTGAGACTCATAATATAGTTGAAAGAATACAGCGAGTATATGTGATCGTTTTATTTCCTAGCCTCTCTAAATTAAAGGGGACATGTCTTCCAGGTTTGGTAGAATTCCTAAACTAATATAGTGTCCTTATCTTTTAGATTTGAAAAAAGGCTTGGGAACCAGCAGTTAGCGTAATGGCTATGTCGCTGGACTCCCACGTAGTCAACCGCGGTTCGCGTCCCGGACCTGGTGGCTTAAAACTCACGCTGGGCGCGTGTGTGTGCGTGCCCAAGATCCTGAGAGGAGAATGGAGGAGAAGGGATTGCGGCGTGACCATCCCCCCTGGGGGGTGATTTCTCGCTTTCTGTCTCTATGTCTCTCTCTGTCTGTCTGGCGAGCGCATGCGCCCTATAGCGAAAACCTCTCCCCCCCCCAAAAAAAAGGCTCTAACCAGGTCCCCATTTAATCAGCACCCCAGCTCCTCGGTACAGGGCAGAATATGGTTCGGGATTAGATTTAGAGGCAGAACACTTGGGTTTGAGTTCTATCCAGTTCAGTGACATTTGCGACCTGTCAAGTTAATGAATGTCTTGATCCTAAATCACAATGAAGTATATAGTAGGTATAAAAAATGGGGACCTGAGGCTGGGAGGTTGCATACTGGTTAAGGGCACTGGGTTCTAACATGACTGACTGTGGCTTGAATCCCAGACCTGGCAGCTTGCTTTCTCACTTTCCCTTTCTATCTCTCTCTCTCACTCTGTCCCTCTCTGGTCAAATTAAAATAAATAAATAGATAGTTAGGACCAGCGGTTGTAATGGCTATGTCACTAGACTCCCACATAGTCGACTATGGTTTGATTCCCAGACTCACTTGGCTTAAACTCATGTGGGTGCGTGTGTGTGCGTGCCCATGACCCCGAGAGGAGAATGGAGAAGGGATTGCGGCTTGGCCGTCTCCCCTAGGCAGTGATTTCTTGCTCTCTATCTCTTTGTCTCTCTGTCTTTCTGGCAAGCGCACGTGCCCTATAGCAAAAACCT